ATCAACCTTTAAGGTATGAGGAGTATAACTTTTCATGATTTTCTATGTGTAGATTTCGATGTAGTAAGGTTGATTTAAGGGTTTTATGGAGAATTATGAGAAAAAGAAATTTTGGCCTTCGTGGCCTAAATCTGGTTTTGGGAACTCTGATGTTGTGGTGTAGTGGTAAGTATTCCTGACAGTTAGAGCATAATATGAGAAAGGGAAACCTTAGGCGTTCGTGGCCAAAACCTTGAATTGTTATATGTCTGACCCTAAAGGAATAGGAATATTTGAATGTGAGTAACTCTAGTGCCTTAGGGTGTAATTGAAGGAAAATTGTGATTTAGGGCTGAATATGTTCCGGGATTGACCTAATAAACCGTAGGTTTTGTGCCTTTATCGCCGTAGGACCTTAGGGATGATTTAGGGATGTTTTGGAGGCATTGAGTAAGTGAATCATAGAGCCTTTTGGGTAGAGATCACTTCTGTGCGTGGCAGAATTTGCTGTCATCGCACAGTTCTCCTAGTGAAGAAAGTTTCGCCTAGCGAACCATGTTGTTCCCAGACTCTCCTAGCGAAGAAACTCGCCCCTGACTCGCCTAGCGAACATGCTAGTGAACGTATCAGAGTTTCGCATATGTTGATCGTGTGCAGCGATGCCTTGATGTTTGATTCTGTGATTCTGGTGATGAATTACCTTGGGGGTAACTATGATTTTTATGTGATTAACATGTGATGTATATATGATTACATGATGGATTGTATGATGTATTATGATGATGTTACCATTGATTTTGATTAATTATATGATGACATGAGACATGATGATGATTTTGATGAATATGATGAATGATGCTGCACCTATGCTGTTATTATGAGGATGATTATTGACGTGTGCATCATGCATTCATGTGCATCTGGACTTCGGTTCAGGACCTCGATTACTTTGGATTCAATCCCATTTTGTGGATGTGAAGTGTTTTGATGTGCTCAGGTTCTCTAGCAGAATCAATCCTATTGATGGGGATCTATGGAGGGTTGATGGCCCAGTGTCCATCTCGATGTGATGATTGGTACCACATGCATTGAGTCTATGTTGCATTTGCATTTATGAGCCTTTTTGTATAAATTATGATGTTGTGGCCTTCGAGGCCTATTGAAGGATATGAATGTGTTGAATATGAATATGACGCCGTTTATATGTTGATTTTTATACATTGGTTATTATGAATTGTTTTACTCACCCTGCCTGTTTGAATGTTACCTCCACGTGAGTAACGTGAAGATGACCAGGTTTAGCCGTGGACGCCGTCGAGGAGTATTTTTGAAGTTTTGAGTTTTTGGCCTTTTGGTTAGCTTAGAGGGTCTTGCTCTAATATGTAACATCGGGTTGGGTTCTTTTGAGTTAAACTATATATTGTTGAGTTATTTTGCTTATTTTCTCTGATGAGGAAAACCTTGATTTATGCCTTTGAGTTCCGCTGCGTTGTGCGATTTGATTATTTTGGGAAAAACCCGTTGTTTACGGAGCCTTGACCTATTTTGTTGATTTGGGAAATGTACGCCCTTTTTGATGGCTTTTATGGAAATTTAATAATTACTCTGATATTTGTGTTATTTTGCCATGATAATTGTGGGGTAGAAAAGGGTGTTACATTGGTGGTATCAGAGCTGGTCGGTCCGTCCGGCCAAGTTTTATGTTGTTAGTCCCCTGTCAGTTAATAGTGTGAGAACACTATTGATGAGTTGTTTTCTTCTAACCCTGTTGGTGGTTGCAGATTGCTGGAAGGAATGATCGTGCCATTGTTGATGCGCTGGAATCACTTGCCCAAGTCGGTTCGTCCGTCGACTTTTGTGGGAACTCATGATCCTAATGGTGTGCAGAAGTGGCTGAAAGTGATTGAGAAGATTTTCTGAGTTATGGCGTGCACTGATGCTCAGCAGGTACAGTTTGGTATGCATATGTTGGCAGAGGAAAGTGAAGACTGGTGGGATAACACTCGTCAGAGAATGGGAGATGCTTGCATTGCAATAACTTGGGATGCGTTCAAGGAAGATTTTTTGAGGAAGTATTTTCCTGAAGATGTTCGAGGAAAGAAAGAGGTGGAATTTCTTGAGCTAAAATAAGGGAACATGACTGTGGCTGAGTATGCGGAAAAGTTTGAGTCTTTAGTCAAGTTTTGTCCGCATTACAACCGTGTTGATGCAGAGATGTCAAAGTGTCTCAAGTTTGAGAATGGTTTGAGACCAGAGATTAAGTAGGGAATTGGGTACCAGCAGATTCGTCGGTTTTCGAAACTGGTAGACAAGAGCAGAATTTATGATGAGGATAGTCGAGCTCGATCTACTCACTACAAGCAGTTGAGTGAGAAGAAAGAGAAAGGTCAGTATAAAGGGAAACTGTATGAGACTTCTGGTGATAAAGGGAAGCAAAAGGCTTCTGATGGGAAAAAGCCAAGTGGGGGAGCGGCTACTGCTCCAGGTAAGTGTTATAAGCGTGGCGAGCAAAGCCACCATGCTGAGAATTATAAAGCACTGAGATGTCATCATTATGGCAAGATGGGTCATAGAGCTAATGATTGTAAAGATGAAGCTCCGACTTGCTTCAACTGTGGAGATAAGGGTCATATCAGTACCCAGTGTCAGCATCCGAAGAAGACTGCTACTACTGCTCTGACAAATGGCAGAGTGGTTGCTTTGAGTGGTGCGGAAGAGTCCAAGACAAATAACTTGATCCGAGGTACTTGTTTTATTAATGATGTTGAATTGATTTCTATAGTTGATATTGGTGCTACTCATTCATTTATTTCGCTTGAATGTGATAAGAGTTTGAATTTAAAATTATCTGCTATGATTGGGAGTATGGTCATTGATACCCCGACTAATGGTTCTGTGACTATTGCGTTAGTCTGTTTAAGCTGTCCTTTGACCATTTATGATAAGAATTTTGTGATGGACTTGGTCTGTCTACCCTTGCATCAGATTGATGTTATTCTTAGGATGAACTGGTTGGAGTACAACTATGTTCATATTGATTGCTACAGCAAGACTGTGAGGTTTTCCGAGTTTGGTGATGGTGGAGAGTTGATGTTCATATCTGCCAAGAAAGTAGAAGAACTCTTAGAAGATGAGGCTCAGATGTTTGCATTGTTTGCATCACTTCAAGTTGATTATGAAGCAGTAAGCGCGGAGCTACCAGTTGTTCGGGAATTTTTAAAGGTGTTTCCAAACGACATGAGTGATTTACCTCCTGAGTGTGAGGTAGAGTTTACTATTGATATGATACCGGGTACTAGTCCTGTGTCGATGGCTCCTTATCGGATGTCTGCATCTGAGTTAGGGGAATTGAAGAAACAGTTGGAAGATTTGCTTGAGAAGAAGTTTATTCGACCGAGTGTTTCTCCGTGGGGTGCTCCTGTGTTGTTGGTGAAGAAGAAAGATGATAGTATGAGATTGTGTATGGATTATCAGTAGTTGAATAAAGTGAAGATTAAGAATAAGTATCCACTTATGAGGATTGATGATTTGATGGATCAATTGGTGGGTGCTTGTGTGTTTAGCAAGATTGATTTGAGGTCTGGTTATCATCAGATTCGCATTAAGCTTGATGATATTCTGAAGACAGCTTTCAGGACGAGGTATGGACACTATGAGTATATTGTGATGCCATTTGGTGTGTCTAATTCACTTGGTGTATTCATGGAGTATATGAATAGGATTTTTCATCCTTATTTAGATCAGTTTGTGGTGGTGTTTATTGATGATATCCTGATATATTCTAAATCCGAGGAAGAGCATGCGCAACATCTAAGATTTGTATTGCAGGTTTTGAAAGACAAGAAGCTTTATGCCAAGTTCTCCAAGTGTGAGTTTTGGTTGAAGGAAGTGAGTTTCCTTGGCCATGTGATTTCTAGTGGTAGAATTGTTGTTGATCCATCGAAAGTTGATGTTGTGTTGCAGTGGGAGACTCCAAATTCTGCTACTAAGATTCGAAGTTTCTTTGGGTTGGCTGGTTATTATCGCAGGTTTATAGAAGGCTTTTCTAAGTTGGCACTGCCTTTGACTCAGTTGACTTGAAAGGGTCAACCTTATGTGTGGGATGTGGCTTGTGGGAAGAGTTTTGTAGAACTCAAGAAGAAATTGACGACTGCTCTAGTGTTGATTTTTCCAAATCCGAGTGATTCGTTTGTTGTGTATTGTGATGCGTCGAAGATGGGTCTTGGAGGCGTACTGATGCAGAATGGTCAGGTGGTTGCTTATGCTTCCAGACAATGTCTTTCATATAAGAGCTCCCTTCATTCTTCACCTCTGGTAGCTCTTTTAGTATACCAATGACAAATTATGACACATGTTTCTAAGATGTTTGATCCCCTTTAAACTCTTCATCTCAACATATGCCATTGTTCCCATCCATAAAAATGACTTCAACATCAAAAAGATGCACAATGTGAAGAATGAAATCATGACTATGTATGTGAAGGTGGTCTTTGAAAAGATGTTGTGGAAGATTAGGTACTAGATGGAGAAGAAGACAACAGGGAGGAACTATTGATAAGCAACATGAATTTCTATCAAAGCTTGACCCACTCCTCTTCAATATTAGTTCCAGTTATTGTTGCCAATTGTTGCTCAGTCTTCAGCCTTGGAACATTTACCACCAAATCATCCCTTTTGGCTTTCACTTATCTTCCTTTCTCATACAATTCCACTTTTCTCCTACCAACCTCATCTCTTTTTCTTTTAGATTTTTCAATCTCAACATTAACCATTTTGATTTCTTCTTCAAGCTTTCTCTTCCTTTCCGCCAAGATAACCAATTTATTACACAAACACGTCTCCTCCTTCTTCGTCTCATGGAACTCTTTAACATTAGCTTCAAGATCATTCATCACTTCACTTGCTTTTGATAGTTCTCTTTTTGCATTTGCTGAAAGACCTGATGCATCGTGATACTCCAAACTCCATCGTTCAAAACATTGTAACATTTTCTTTATTTCTATTTTTGTAGTCGTGCAGAGTTATTCACTTTGTAGGAATGTGAGGAGGTATTTGAGTATATCTTTTATCTCTATAGAACGCCCTGGGTGTAACAAAAGAGAGAAATCTTTAGAGAATAAATCTTGGAGACTTTGAATTGCTTTCTTGATATTTTCACTAGGCCTAAAAGGTACTAGATGTGATGGAGAAGTTCTCTCTGATGATTCAAGAGATGCATAAAATGCATTCATATTCCTAGTTTCATTATGTTCGTCCTGATTTGCCATCTTCAGTTGGTCATAGAGATTATGAAAGGGTGCACATTAGTTGCATTATATGTTGAACATAACTTGCTATCTATCATCAAAATAAGCATTAACTTAGAAAATATAAACACATAATCATTAACAAGAATAAAAACAAAAATTCTAAACTTAAAGATGGGTTCATTTTGTTGAAATTGCTACAAATTTCTATAATATTCTTAAATATAATATGTATGAAAATGGTAGAAGATCTTAGAATTATACTGTTTATGAATATGGTAGAACAATCTAGAATTATAAGTATATGAAAATGATAGAAGAACTTAGAACTATCATGATTAGGAGGTTGGTGACTTGAGCCTATAAATAGGCAATTGGTATCTTGTAATTGATTATTTAAGAAATCAATGACATAACCTTTTTTCTAAACAATTCTCTATAACTATCTTTTATCAACTATCGACTAATCAACTACTAACAGTGGGCTTCATAATACTATTATTCTTCCCCTCCAATAATTTTATTATTTATGTGTTGCTTTTTGTTCTGTGTTACTAAACTAGCTCTTACACTACTTGCTACTATCTTTCAACTATCTAGCAGTACACACCATCAAAAACAGGCGCATCCAAAAATGAGGCAGACACAACAAAATGTGCACTATGACCAATGTTCTTTATACCTTTTTAAAATCTCAAACATGTTTAGAAACAAACAATAACATCAAATGGAGTTAAAATATCCTTATCGCAAGCTATTACATACATATATCTATAATTATGATAACATATTTTTGAATATTTTTGACAAGAAGTAATTACAAAATTCAGTTATAAAATATTTTTTACATAATCATGCTAAAAATAATTCAAATCGCAAAATTACAGTCTAGTTTACATATCAACTAAATATTACTTGTTGAAGATAATTAAACTGCAACAAAATAAGAACGGAACTTTTCTAATGCGTACACTATAGCAAGCAATTCTTTTTCCGTTGTCTCATAATTGATTTGAGCTTTGTTAAGAACCTTGATTGCATAATGTATCGCATGGAAAATTTTGTTTTTTCTTTGACCTAAAACTGCACCAACCGCATAATCGCTCGCATCACACATAAGTTCAAAATCATTTTTCCAATTCGGTGCGACAATTATGGGTGCAGTTATAAGGCTTTGTTTCAAAGAATCAAAAGCGGTCATGCAAGAATTGTCAAAAATAAAAGACTTATCTTTGTTGAGCAAGTTGCTCAATGGCTTTGCTATCTTCGCGAAGTCCTTGATGAATCTTCATAAAATCCTGCATGACCCAGAAAACTTCTAATTCCCTTCACATTCAGAGGCGGCGGTAGCTTCTCAATCACCTCCACCTTAGCTCTATCAACTTTAATTCCCTTTGAAGAAACCTTGTGCCCAAGCACAATGCCCTCCGTGACCATGAAATTGCATTTCTCCCAATTAAGCACTAGATTGGTTTCCACACACCTCTCCAAAACAACATCAAATTTTTTTAGACAAAGATCGAATGACGGTCCAAAAACAGAGAAATCATCCATAAACACCTCTATCGTCTTCTCAATCAAGTCCGAGAATTTCGCTTGCATACACCGTTGAAAAGTCGCCGGCGCATTACACAACCCAAACGGCATCCTCCGATAAGCAAAGATTCCGAAAGGACACGTGAAAGATGTTTTTTCGTGATCTTCCAGGTTGACAATAATTTGGTTATACCCGAAATATCCATCCAAAAAGCAATAGTACTCTTGACCGGAGAGCCTTTCGAGCATTTGATCCATGAACAGAAGAGGAAAGTGATCTTTTCTCGTAGCTTGATTTAGCCTACGGTAGTCAATGCATATTCTCCATCCCGTCACGGTCTTTGTTGGAATCAATTCATTTTTTTCATTGCGGACAACCGTCATTCCACCCTTCTTCGGTACCACTTGAACGGGACTCACCCATGGACTATCAAATATAGGATAAATCATGCCGGCATCCAACATCTTCACAACCTCTTTCCTTACTACTTAATTCTTTCATAGTAGAATTCAATCTTCTTTGCGGTTGAGCTACCGACTTGAAATCTTCCTCCATAAAAATACAATGCATACAATAGGAAGGACTTATTCCTTTCAAATCGGAAAGAGTCCAACCCATCGCCTCTTGATTTTTCTTCAACACCACAAGTAATTTCCTTTTTTCATCCATGGTTAACTCCGAACTTATGATTACCGGCTTAATTTTTTCTTTGTCAAGGAAAACATACTTCAAATGAGATGGTAACAACTTCATCTCAAGCTTTCCTTCCTCATTGTTATCTTTTTTCAACTCTTCCACCTTTTCTTTCAAAGGTGGGATTTCCTCTAACTCTTCGAGTTCCTTCAAACATTTTTCAATTTCTCGTTCTTCTTCTTCATTTATCTTTGAAAGAGCATTGGTGAATATTAGCCACGTTGACATTTGTCGCTACTGCGAAAATAAGGTGCCAGCAAAACAGAAGAGTCGCCACCTTTCGTTATTTATCCCTCAGAACGGGAAAGGAAACGATCGGAAAAACCTGACGAAAAGGTATAAGACAAGGTCATCGCAACCATTGTCTGGATTTGGGAGTCGGTTACACAAGGGGAAGGTATTAGCACTCCTCACGTCCGTCGTACTCGACGGGATCCATGCTTGTTTGTTTATCTGACGGGTTTGTTACATCTATCTACGCTAAAGGTCTGGTCTGAAACAGAAAATAAAATGACTCGGTAAAGCGTCGCACTTTATGCCTACGTATTCCCGTCTGGAACGAGAAATTAGAGTCAACATAGTTCGCCTAACTACGGGGTACGGGGAAGGTTGCTCGCAAAGGTATCGCATCTTGTGCCTACGTACTTTCATACAACATGAAAGATCAGAGCAAACGTAGTTCGGGCTACGAAGAACACAGGTTTGTTCAGCTGCTTTTTATCCAAGTAAAGTTAACAGACAGTTCCAGCAGTTGGTGTTTGCAGCTCGACCTTTGGAGACTTAAGCATTATCGTTTGCGGTAGAACTGAAAGTTAACAGAACTCTCCTTCTGAAAAAAGGGTTTCCAAGGGATTAGGGTCCAAGAGGACGAACAAATATTTGATCTTTGTTTTCTGTTTTTTACGGAAGAAGTTTTTTTTAGTTGTCAGTAGTTTGTACAGCACTAGAGACTATGACTTAGGAGCGAATGCGTCGCATATCGTCCAAAGGACATATACTAAACACTCTAGATGATTGAGAGGAGACCGCTCAAACATCATTTCCCAAGTAGCTTAAGGCTCGTAACGCGCTTGTACTAACTTGCCTTTATTATGTTTTTTACTGTCGTGTGAGATGAGAAGAGAAACAGACTCTCTACGGGGAAACTGACTCGATCCTACAGTTATCATGCAGTGTTCGTCCTACGGTTGAGGTTAAAAGGGAAACTAACTAATGTTATCATGCATGGTTAGAATCCTAATGTCTGTCATAACTTCTCTTGAATAAGAGAAGTCAGAGTTCCTAGGGGAACATGGCAACGAAAATCAAACAGTAAAAGAAATAACTGTACATAAATTACTGTAAAGATGCATGCAATGCAAGTGAGGGAGGAAATATGTGTAGGGCATAAGCCTCCACAAGCTCATCTCAACCTCAAGCCAGATATGAATAACTGCAAAGATAATAGAAGAAAGTAAATGCAATCAAACAGACCACAAACCACACAGGCAAGGGAGCGGAGCTCTACCAAATACCAGCAAGCAAAGCCACCCAGTAAAAATACAAGCAGAGGGAGAAACTCAACCTCTAATGCAATACAAGCAAGGGGAGAAACTCAACCCTTAGGATGCTCTTAGGCCTATGTTCGTCTACATGAAGCCTACTACTAATGCAACACTCCAAGAAAGTCACATCAATACACATCAATACAGTTAAACAAGAAGAAAACAGACAGGGAAAACAAGCCAGCAATCTCCATAGCAGAGCAGTCTTCTGGAAGCAATCCAATCCAAAGTCTGTATCTGTTCTTCAAGTCCACCATCTTCAAGAGAAGGAAAGGAATCCATGACAAGCAATCAAACAAGCTTCTATCCTATAGAATGAAATTGGGTGTTGGGAGGCAAGGGTAAGCTCCACAGGAGCTTATCCCAGGCACTCAACCAACAAAAAGATCTTTGTGGAAACCTAAGGGTTTGGCTCCTTCAAGAGGTGTGCCATATTCCCCCCACAGGAGGGACTGTTCTACTTCAAGAAGGTTCCTAAAGAGGAAAGAATGAGGGAACTTTAGGAAAATGGAAATGAGAAGCAAGGTAAGTTCCACAGGAACCTACCACAGACACTCAACCAAATCCATTTCCTTTAGAGAGCTTGCTTAGGCTCAACTCCAATGTGAAAGGCAGGGAATTCCTCCACAGGAGGAATTATACCCACAATGAAGGATCCTAATTAAACAAGGAGTATTTGAAGGGGAACTAATCTTAGGAAAATGTCATCACCTACTTGAATCTCTAAAGAACATCAAATGTTATCTCCTAATGATCATCTATTCTAAGGTCAATTTGTAAAATGGGGAACTAACAAAAAATTGCTCTTAAAAATTCTAAGGAAAATACCACCTCATCCTATATGTGTCAACATTCCATAGTAGAAAAATCAGAAGTTAAATTTAAATCAAAATGCCCAAATTAAATCCAAAACTTCAAGGGTGCACTAAAGGAATTCACTAAAGAACACTCTTAAACAACTACCCTAAAATCCTATTTAAAATGATCTAAAAAACAAAACAAAAATCACATAGCAACATTAGCATGTATACAGCCAGCACACAAAATTCCAAGATCAAACTCCAAAATGTGAGAGAGAAAGAAAATCAACAAATTCAGAACAACATTATTTCACTATTAAAAGTGCACTAAACACAAAATATGAAATAAAATGGAAAATGCATGGAAAATTAAAATACAAAGCAGGATAAAATCCTGAACATCTCAATCTATAATCACAATTTTTCCAGAATTTATTTATGATATTC